ATAACCAATATAATTTATATGGAATGTAAAAGATTTTCTTCAAAGAAAACTTCAAAATAATATATATGAGAAGACTAGTTTTTAAAAAAATGAAAAGAAAAAGTATAATAAACTAATATTTAAATAATTTTTATAATTTATTAACGAATATTTGCGAACATGAATATCATTAAAGTCATATCCATTTTCATTATTTAAACAAATATTTAAATATCTATTTATTTTATCTGCATATATCTATTAAACTATTCATCTAATATTCGTGACAAATTTTATCCGAAGATATTTGTGAGTACGAATTTTTTTACCATCCCTACTCAAAACCATTCATTTCTTTGTTTTTAAAATATTTGTCTCTTTCTTTTTAATTGGTGACTCAAATTTTACTAAAAGTCTTAGCTTTACTTGTATTTCTTATTGATATTTTATAATACTAGGTTTAAGGTTGGAAAATCATGTATTTTATAGAGAAATAAAAAAAATACAATTTTTTAAAGTAAAATTTTATGAATTTAATGGATATGTAGCGACAATGAAAAATGAATGATTTTATACAATTGTCTAATAAAAATATACTAATTCATTATATTATATCAGTATTTTAAAATATATGGATGATATATCGTAATAGATATTATTCCTTGATTGACTATGTAAATTCATCTTATAGATTTAGTACACACTCTATTTTCTCAAATTTTATTATGTAAAGTATGATATAGGAAACGAGACATTTATTATTTAGAAAATGAAAATATCGTCAATATTAAATACAAAAGTATGATAGGGGATCAAAATTATTTAAATTTAAAATAGAGGTTAATTTCGTGAATCAAACAAAATAAGAGAATCAAAACTATAATTTAGCCAATTATTTTTATAAATAACTCTAAAATAAAAATATTCATATATATAATTAATTATAATGTCAATTTAAATATTTTTATATACAAAAAAAATATAAAAATCAATTTATTATTTTTTTAAAAATAATAAATTATTTTGGTTAGACAATTTTTTTTTTCTTTCATTTTTCCTATTTATATTTTCTCAAACTTTTTTAATGTAAGTATCATATATTAAGAGAAAATTACTTTCCTAAAATATTTATTCTCAAACGAAATAGACATAAAACAGATCCTTTCAAACAAAAAACATCGCATGTAAAACCCTCTTCCACTTTCTGTTATCCCTTATCACTGTTCGAGGAAGAGCCAAAGAAATCGAACTTCAATTCAACAAACCCTCCTCACTTTCCCCTCACTGTAAGTCTATCTCCATTTCTCTCATTCTATCCAAAAGGGTTCAATGATTCTATCCAAAGCAATTCAATTTTGGGTTTCTTTCTTTTGAGTATTTACTTTACTTGTTGCTTCAAAGTTTGTATTTTTATGCTACCCTTTTGTTTATTATGCAGATTCAATGTTACTCAACTCCTGAATAATATGAAAGTTATGAACTTTTCTTGTGGTGTAACAAAACCCAATTTTCCGTTTTCTCAAACAGAAATGCCAATTTTTACATTTGGTCATTCTAAGTTGACTGCAACCTTAGGTTTTCAGTTGCCATGTATTTGTGTTAGGAAGATGAGGTTGATTACAAAGGTTCAGTGTGCTGTTGCTGATATGACGTATAGTTCCAGTACTGGTGATTCACAGGGACCTAATCAGGACTCGGGCAAAATTCAAAGGAAACGGGCAGGTCCCTCGTCGACGCATGTTGGTTACATTCGTCCTAGTTTATATGAAATGAAGAAAGATAAGGTGGCATTGCGTGAAAATGTTTATGAGTTCTTGCGAGGAATTGGGATTGTTCCTGATGAGCTTGATGGTCTTGAACTTCCTGTAACGGTTGATGTTATGAAGGAGCGTGTGGATTTTCTTCATAACTTGGGGCTTACGAAACAAGATATTAATAACTATCCTCTTGTTCTTGGTTGTAGCGTCAAGAAGAACATGGTTCCTGTGCTTGATTACCTCGGCAAATTGGGAGTTAGGAAATCGATGTTAGCGAAGTTTTTGCAGAGGTACCCGCAAGTGCTTCATGCTAGTGTGGTTGTGGATCTTGTGCCGGTGGTTAAGTATCTTCAAGGGATGGATATTACACCCAATGATATTCCTCATGTTCTTGAGAGGTATCCTGAAGTGCTAGGATTCAAACTTGAGGGAACTATGAGTACGTCAATTGCTTATTTGATCGGAATTGGTGTTGGAAGAAGAGAACTCGGAGGTGTCTTAACTAGATATCCGGAGATTTTGGGGATGCGGGTTGGTAGAGTCATCAAGCCTTTTGTGGAGTATTTAGAAAGCTTGGGTATTCCAAGGCTAGCCATTGCTAGACTGATAGAGACACAACCTTATATCCTTGGATTCGATCTGAACGAGAAGGTGAAGCCAAATGTCAAATCCCTCGAAGAGTTTAATGTTCGGCGAACATCAATTGCCTCGATAATCGCTCAGTATCCTGACATCATTGGAGCCGACCTAGAGCCAAAGCTTGCCAATAAGAAAAGCGTTCTCAATTCTGTGCTTGATTTGGATCCTGAGGATTTCGGCTTAATCGTTGAGAAAATGCCGCAGGTAGTAAGCCTCAGTGATACACCTATGCTAAAGCATGTTGATTTTCTTAAGGAATGTGGATTTTCCGCTCTGCAAATGAAGAAGATGATTGTTGGATGCCCTCAACTACTTGCTTTAAACATTGATATCATGAAACTTAGCTTTGATTTCTTCCAAAGCGAGATGGAACAGCCTTTAGAAGACTTGGTTGAATTTCCAGCATTCTTCACTTATGGTTTGGAGTCAACTATAAAACCTAGGCATAACATGGTTGCAAAGAAAGCATTGAAGTGTTCGCTGGCATGGATGCTTAATTGTTCGAATGAGAAATTTGAGCAGCGGATGGATTATGACACTATTGACATGGAAGAGATGGAAATGAAACCATCGTTTGACATGGATTCATTGATGCGACCAAGGAATGATGAATCGGATTCTGATTATGAATACAGTGATTCTGACGATGTTGATGACGAGTAAAATAATTATCACACTTTAGTAACTAGTCTGCCTAGGAGAATTTTGATCTTCTCTTGGATGATCTTTATATACTGATAATTTCAATGCTGTAATGTACCATTGAAAAGGTATGTATATGATTGGCAAGTACATGTGACGCATTTACAAGCTGTTGCGTCCTAATTTTGTTTGTTTGTTTATGTGATATGGTGTTGTATTAGTATTCTTTTGTTTTTAGATTTTACCTCTTACAAGTTGTTATTCACTTTTAGACAGTAGAGCTACTTATCTCATCTTCAACTAAAATATTTGTAGTGCTAAAATTTGTGGAATTGTGAATGAGATTAGTTGACTAACCAATAAGTTTTGACAATCTGAGACTCTGAGAGCGATATGTTCCTTTTCGCTAATACATGTTTTATCCATCATCCTTGTTGTCCTCGTTATCGTTATTTCGATTTTATGCTGATGGTCAAGTTATGAATTGCATGTTATGCAACACTAACACTTCATATTGAAGGCGGCTCAGTGACAAAACACATCACTATCCGCCACCGACACTGTACTTACACATTAGGTTATAGTTAATAAGTTCATATTCTCAAATTATTGTTGGTATACTACTCAATATTGTGTCTGGTCTGGGTCTGCGTCTGTATCTGTATCGTTGCTTTATATATTGCAGGGACCATCAGTTTTTTCCTTATCTCTTGTTCTTAGAATGTTATTTGTAGTTAACAGAAATACCCTGCTTTGAGGTTAGCATTATCTTTTTTTTTTTAATTTTTTTATTTAAAGAAGCATATCTTGTTCTTGTTCTTGATCCTGGAATCCCCTCTTGAATTTGGTAAAAAGAATGCCTATTTAATTCCATTTGTATGTTCCGATTTGCCATATGAGCATGCAAGATTGTCAAGATCAGGATCTTGCATAAGATTGAGAGGAGATAGTAAGATCGTAAAACATAAAATCGTAACTAAGATAGAAAAATCTTACCTAATTATTTTTGTAAGATCAGGAGGGTGTAACTAGATTGTAAAATATAAGATCGTAATGAAAATCATAAGATATTACTAAATTGAAAAGTAATACTAAATATTTGAAGTTTCTTACATGATATTTTGGTAGACAAGTGTATTTGTAGGAAAATGGTCTCCGCTGAAGTGTAATTGTTGTGCCTCGACATCTTATCTTCCTTCTCAATTTGTAAAAGGCGGTGGTGATCGGAAAACAGTAGTTCGTGGATGGAACTGACCAAGATCGCGCATAATCAATGGTTTTACGATTTTTTTTCTTCACAATTTGGGTACACCATATAATTTTACATAAAATCGGAATCATTAGGGGTGAATGGGATTGCAAAATCGAAAAAGCTTTTAAGATCGAGATCAAGATTTTGACAACCTTGTGAGCATGTTAGCCTAAAAGGCAATGCAAAGATAAGGAAAAGTTAACATAAAAAAGTAGGAAATGTACCCGGTAGTTGAAAGGTACTCTTGTTATTGTCATTATTGACTCATTATGTAGCTTGTTTTTACAATATCTGCTCCTCACATATGCATACCCTTGTTTCATGTGACTAGCTATTAAGAAACCTCGTATGAAGGGTATATAGTATGTTGCTTCATCCTTGTATTTTGGTTGCTTAGGGATGGTTCTCAATGTTTTTCTGGATTTATAAGAAATTCAAAACTTACATTTCTTTCTATAACTTTAAGTTTTTACAACTCAATCCAATGAAAAATCTGTGACAAGAAACAATTAGGTTCTCATACTATAAATAATGTCAGTAATACAGGGTATGTGTGTATGTATGTATGAGAATTTGAGAATACTACAGTTTGTAAAGCTTCAAACTGCCTCTTTATTCAGTTTTCTTGTGTAGTAATCATCATTGTATATTTCACTCACTCTTCTGTGTTATTCATGTACAGAAAATCTTGAGCACTAAAACTTAATCTTGTAGTGTATTCTCATGCCTTGTCAAGAAATCTTGTGAGAGTAAGAAATTCTTATAGGTGTGAAGACTACCGTTAGTCTCGCATGATCAGAAAGGGAATAGTCTTCTGGCCAACTACCTTTCTCCATCTCTTGAGGGAACAACACTGCATTTTTAATACTAAAACCAATTGTTTCCTCTTCTTCACCATCGTTTGGTTCATCATCTTGCTTATCGTTCTTGTTGTCGTCTCTTCGATAATCTGACCCTGTTGGATTCCATATTTGATACTGCAATCACCCAATACTACATATTAGATGAAAAACCAACTGGTTTAATCTGTCTAAGAAGAACTATCGAGATAATGCAATTGTAGGACACATGAAACACTGACACAAACACGAACACAATGACACTGATATTATTTTGAGAAAATAAATGAAATAAATAGTAATAAATTTATCATCTGAAATACTTTACCAGAAATTGTTTATAATCAATTACACCATTTCCATCTATATCCGCTTGAAACCACAAGTCCTTTGTCTCTTCATCACTCAAACCATAACAATGACCAATCAAGTTAAGCTGCACAAATTGTAAAACTCTTTCAACATGAGATTTTCTCAAAGAAGTTCTCACATCATCTGAAACATTCAAGTACACACTTACGTGTTGAAGTGCTTTTCTAAAACCAGCATATGTAATACAATCTTCATTTTCATTCTTTAGAAAATCAAATGCAGCACTCTCTGTCATTGAAGTTCTTTGCAATAGATACTGAAAAACAAAAAAATGAAGAATTAAATTACAAAACATGTTACAAGTTATAGCAAAGACGGTTAAAGATTACCTTGAACATGCCAAAAACTGCTTCACTCCAGCTCGATTTTACGAGTTTTTGATATTTATCAGGATTCAGAAGCCATATGAAATCAACAGCACATGTATTTCCAAGATGGTTGCGGTGGCTGATCCACTACATTGAACATTGTAAGACATATGATACATGAGTTCAATTTGAGTTAGAAAAGGGTTACCTTGTGAGCATCTGCATCAGTGTAGTGATGTGCTGTATCATAGGATGATACAAATCCTTGAGACCTTAGGAACATATAAACATGTCCGCGTTTGCTTCCGTTCCAATCACTAAACAAAAATTGCATTTAAGATATAAAACACTGAGACGAATACGACACTAACACGTCAATTTTGATAATAATCTGATACAATAGAATAATTAAATGTAATCACGTGTCAGACATATATCAAATATCAGATAGACACGTCTTCAATTTGAAGTGTCGGTGTTACATAATATATAAATGTTTTAAGTTTTCTTAAAATAAAGCATTACCCGCATAACATATTACTCTCTCTGTCCTATAATGAATGATCCACTTGAAATAAAATAGCATTCGAAAATGAATGATCTATTTCAATTTTTAATACATTTTTTTCAATTATACCATCTTATTAATTGAACTTTCATCATTTCCAATACATGATTAGGGGTATTATAGTAAAAATATTATTTTCACTCTTACTTTTCTACACTTTTTTAATATGTATGAGATGATGGACTGTGTCACTCATTCTGGGACGGAGTAGTGTTTTATGTTTTCTTAAAATAAAGCGTTACCCGCATAATATAATCGATAAAGGCTTAAGTTGGTATTCGATCCGATAAGATTCCACATATTGAAGTATCTTGTAAACCTGTGTAAAAACAAAATTTCACGTTTGTTTAGCTACAATTGTATGCAACAAAAATGCAACTTAGATACTAAAATAAGTGCTTAATTACATACCTGATGAAGCCGCACAAGGCATAGACTTGAATCATGAGGAAATAGTAGGTGAGTATTGACAATAAGAATCTCTTGTCTAACACCATTGTTTTGACACTGTGAAAGTGGAAAAGCTAACTCAACATGTAACAGTTGAGCTACTCGATCACCACAATCATTGAAATGCAACTCCTTATAATTTATAACTTTGAAATATTCCTTTTTCACTGCTATCAGAAGACCTGAAAAGTGAAGTCTCAAATATTATCATAATATCATTCGTGCATAAAAATTCAACTAGTATTGCTTTCATGAAATCGTGGGCAGTTTTTATTGACTAAATTAGAGAACACTTTTTCTGTTCTAGGCCGTCCAGAAGGCCAATACGAAAAGTCCAAAGGCAAACATAGAGGATGCATACGCGTGGAACGGGTGAGCTCTCACTATCAATAATGGTAGGTAATTCTGAACTCTTACGCATCATACACCATTCAGATTACTCAAACAATTCACCGGTCGGTCGTGTCCCATGCAGCAGTTTCAACCGCCCTCATTATATAGAAATAGCTTATACATAAACATTTAAGTTAAAACCATACCATCACCACGGTTGTTAGTCCTTCCGAGCTTAAAATGAATATAACCAGCATCACCGAGTCTCTTCTCATACAAATTAACAAATTCTTCATTTCCAACCCAAAATTCCTGCACAATTCCAACACATCAAAAACAAATTTCATAACACGAAAAACCCAAACGTTTTCATACAAAGTAAACATAAAAATCAGCTTAGAGATCGAACTCTAAACCACCAACATAAAACAGACAAGAAAAACACAAACCTGAAGACAAATAATGGAAGATCTCTCAAACAACAACCAATCCAAAATCCTATTATTCCTACCCAACCAACATCCTCTATACTCACTTTCACGACAACTCTGATCCTGCTTCAACACCACCAAAACATAAATCACAACAATCTTTTTAAGAACATGAAAAAAAATGCACAATGATGTAAAAGAAAAGAGAAACCTCATGGTTAAGACGTTTGTATATAGGAGCAAGAATGTTGAAGGTGGTGCAAGAAATGCAAGGTAGTTGTTGTTGGTTTTCTTGCATTGCGTAAATTTGAGTCTTTGAAAATGTTCTTCCCATATTTTTATTTTACTTGCAACAATATTTATAAGCTAGTTTTATATGTAGATATTTTTGCAGAATCTTTTTTGTTGCTTTTCCAACAAAGTAATCCAGTACCAACTAGGATGTAAAAGAGTGGCACACTAAACACCGGCCAGTGACGAAAAGTGTCACCTTAACCTTTTTTTTGGTCTGAATTTTATTTGTGTGTAATGTACTCAAACTATTTTTCTCCTTTTCTCTACAAGGATATTGGAATCTTATAAAGTACAAATACTTTGTAGATAAAATTAATCATGGCTTGAGTGTTGTTTTGGAATTTAAGAAAGCTCGTTAAACATATCATAGTTTAAAGTATGGAAAATAATGTCTTATGGTTATTTAAATTTGACGTACCAACTTGTTAAGCCAATAGTTAGTAGTTATATAAAGATATCAAATGCTGACGTGTAGATTTAAATTTGTAACATTTCACTTGTTTCATAACACAAAAATATTTTAACAATATTGAACCTTTTTTTTTTTTGTGTTGATTATAACACTATATCTAACTTCTAAGATTGATAAAGTGTCATCCAAGTAGTTTGGAGTAGAGCTGTATCTATTTGAAGAGTAGTTGTCCTATAATACAAACTCTTACATTTTTGGGATTATTAATTTTTGAGTGATATCATACTTAATGGAGTTTCAAAGAATGTGAAAGAGGTACAAGAGAAGTAAAGGTTTTGTGCTTTGTGAAGAAGATAAAGTGAGAAAATAAGAAAATGAGAGAGAGAGAAAATGGCGGTGAGAAGATAATATTTTATTAAATATACACATTATAACATTGAGACTATTTATACAAGTTAAATAAAACAAGTGGAATTCAAAAACAACTTAAAAAATAAGTTAAAAAAAACCTAAACACGAGTTAGCAACCGGTTATACAAAACTAGGTAACCGATTACCACAACAAAAACAACATAAACAACATAAACAACATTCTACATGTAATCAATTACACCATTCTGTGTAATCGACTACGAACCTGAAAAACAGTATTTCTCACTTTGAGAAGTGCTTATTTAATAAGCTATAACCTCTAAACAGTCTTAAGAAGCTTATAACATACATTTGAATTATTATAAACTTTCAATACACTACCTTAATTCAAATGCTACAAGTTTTCCATGCCCATACTCACTTTCAATCTCTTAAACACATTATTTATAACTTCTTTTATCAACCAATCAACAACTTAATCTTCACTTCTACCATATTCCAACCTTATTTGTTTTTATTGTATTGTTAATAGTATCTTATTTATTTTTGGACTTTATTTATATTTTGGAAATATTTTAAAGACTTCTTGTAGTACTTTGAAACTATTTATATTTCGGTGATCATCACTTTTTTTAATATATTATTTTATTATAAAAAAAAGTATAGTTTTATAAATTTTAAAGGAAGAAAATACATTTAACGAAGAATATTTATTTTTTATTTTTCAAAAATATTTTTTTAATACCTTATCTGATAAAATTTTATTGAATAAATTTCTAAATTAATCATTTAAAAAGAGAGTTAATTAATTTTTAATGAATTAATTAATATCTATATAGAAATATTTATTATCAAATAAATATAATCAATAACAAATTGGTAAAGAAAATAATGAATTGATTATAAAATTTAAAATAAATTTTATATGAAGGATAAAAATAGTCATTTGGTATTAGTCTTGTACAAGTCAATTTTATTGTGTAAAAAGAATAAGTCTATTCGTGTTCACAAAGGTTTTAACTTGACACCCTTCAACTTTGATTTGATATCTCCTCAATTTTTATTGTTCCATAAATATCCTAGGTGAGATGGGAAGAATTTTTGAACGAAATTTTTAGTATAGGTAGTGAAATTTTCAGTACAGAAGAAATTTTCGATAGGACATATATAAATTTTTGGTAGTTCATACGAAATTTCTAATATTTCAATAATTTCAAATTTATCAGTCAGTACCGGAAATTTTAAATATACTGAAATATATGGTAGTTCATTAATTCAAGTTTTTTTAACGATCGTGATTTTGTCGACATCTTTAGAGGGTTTTGATTGCACCGACAAACTTATGTGGTCTAGAATATATCGCCATTTATATAAATAGAGAGCATATGTTATAGAGAAAGACATCTCAAAAAATGTCTCTTCCTCAATTTCTGATTAAGGCAGAAGGGTATTACAACAGAAGAAACTTTGTTGTTGAATTCAAGCTTTCAGATGGCACCACATCCTTTGCCAACTTGAAAGAAAAGTTAAATGAATTGTTGCCTGATACTAAAACAGAAGGGTGAAAAAAATCGAATGTCGGGAAGATTGGACTGATACAAATGGAAGGGTGAAATACAATCTGATTGAGTTGAAGACCGGCGAAGATGTGAAGGTTATGTGGAAATTACTTCGGCGTAGGATAACCAAGGGTCTGATCGAGTTGGATGTAAAGTTAACAAGATTCGTCGATGACATAATGAAGATGCTGAAACATCCAGAATCATCTGGTAGTGCCTAGGTTTTCATGTTTAGTTTTTTAAATATATTTTGTTGTACTGTTTTATGTTATGTTATGTTCATGTAATCGAGAAAATATTATGTAATAAATAAGAAGTCTTTGTGTCACAAAATATACATATAATACAATCAAAATATAACAGATCTACATATGTTCCCCATAGGCTACATCCGCTAACCTAACTAAACCTGTATAAATATCACCATCAGAGTTTAACAAACCCATGAGGTTATCTAAATGAAGAGCAATAAACTGTAGGCGCATGTCATGGTCACCTACATGTGGTGGAGGTGGTGGTGGCGGTACTTCAGAAACTCTAACACGTGAAGGACCCAGAACATCAGAAACCCTAGTCGATGGTATGACGCGAGGGTGTGGTATATTGTGATACCACTCCAAGTATCCATCCCCGCACTATAAAGGATACTGAACCATAACTGTTGTATCCATGATCTCATGGGCAGAGCTGATGATGTGACTCTGAAACCATCTTTTAATGCCACCTGATGGAATCTCTGGAACTCGATGAAGGATGCCCTGGATATAACCATACCTCACAGTAACCTCTCAGACAAGTGTCTAGCCACTTGGTTCTCCCACCTAATATGCCTTGAATACAAATAAGCATTGTGAAATGCATGATGGGCCCGGTGAGATATATATATGTTGTCCAGAGGACATCCTCTATGGTCAAAGCGTCAAGCCTTCTCCTGTAGTCCGTCACACCTACTGGAAGGGCTTGCTTGATCTTCCATCTCCTCGCTCGTGGAACACTAGGCGGGACACACTGGATCTTCCGATCATATATGTGGGGGAAGTGCTCGTATATTCAATACTGCATAAATAAAAACAATTTAATATAACATCCAACAATGACTAATATACTCAAATAAATGCTAGTATACCTATAATAGGCTCAGATAACCGGCTAGCTATTTGGTCTCAGGCTGAGAAGAAAATCTAAATGTCGTATACAACATGGTCAACGCTGCTACTACCCAAGCCCAACATGGAGTGTATAGTGTGTTGAACATAGACAAGTAGCAAACATCAATGTAAACACCAGACTTGTCTGAAAAGAGAGTACATGCCATTAGATGTAGCATGTACACCCTAGCAACAACCTCATACCTATGAGCCTCCACGTGCTCCCCGTGCAATTTCCTCAACCAAGACATCTGAAGCTGAAATTCCCAGTTAAAGCAAAACTCCTCTAGAACTGTCGCCTCAGATACCTCCAAATCATCCATAACCATGCGCACTGTTGTCACATGGTTAATATGAGGAGGTATGAAGAATGTACCAGCGATCAGGATATGAAACAAGGCGTTGACATCATCCAATGTGATCGTCATCTCACCAAATGAAAGATGAAAGGATAATGTTTTTGGGTGCCACCTATCAACAAAAGCTGAAAGGAGGGAGGCGTCAAGCATGGTCAAGGAGCACTCAGTGAACTCCAGCATATGAAAATCAGAAACAATACGTTTGACCTCCTCAGGCATCTCACTCTCCGGGAAGCTCTTCAACTTAGAACCATGGGATGCGACCTTCAGCACCAGACGCTCTTGTAACAAGCAAAGTTGAAAAAAATTATACATCAACTTTCAAACAGTTGATATATGAGCTGTTATGATAAATTTGAAATAAAGGAAAACAAAAATATATACCCCGCCCTTCCATATCCTGTATGCAACATGCTCAAAAAATCCTGTGAGCACGGACCTGTCTGAAGGTCCTCCTAAAAAGGCTTAATCAGTGTAAAATGATGGCTCCATAGATGTACGAGTAGTGGCATTTGTATTAGTGGGAGACACTGTTTACCGTGAAATTTGGTAAACAACCACTGGTCTTCTAAATTGAATAAAAATTGGTGACTTGCAGGATCGACCAGATTGATCCTAAGTACATGTTTTCTTATTCAAAATTTTTGTTCTTGAAATGAAGAATAATTTCGACAATATTCTTATTCTTTTAAACAAAGTTGATTTCAATTGTTACTCCGTAGGTAGTAATATAATGCTTTAAAGAAAAGTCTGGAATGTATCAATTTAAAGAAAAATCTGGAATGTAAAAGACTTTCAATTTAAAGAAAATACTGGAATGTAAAAGGCTTTCGACTGAAATTTAAAGGGAATATATAGAACTTCAATTAAAGTTGAATGATAATAAACATAAAATTGATTCATCATACGTACATTCTCACAACTCGTTTCTTGAATGCTGGTACTTTGAGTAATTTAGAGTATTTTGCACAAAGATATGAACACACTGAATCCTAACACTAAGACCCCTATTTATACTAGTTCGACCAAAACAGTCTCTTCATAAAATGTTGCCACGTTTGACATCTGCATGCGCCTTCGAACTCTATGCTTCCACGCGTCTCTTTGGATAAGATCAAACTTTTGAATTTGAAAACTCTTTGTCTTAGAAGTGAAAAATATCATAATCGTGACAGTTAAAAATATCCTTC